AAAACACAATAAATAATGACGCATGTGGGTGGGGCAACTGTGTGGGCGGGGGATGTGTGGGCGGGGCAACGGTGTGGGCGGGGATTTGAAGGGACCAGATGGGACAGCTTAGACTTTTCCTGTTCATTTAGTGCAGGGGTCTCAAAACTGCGGCCCGGGGCCAGATGTGGCCCTTTGCTTGCCTTTATCTAGCCCTTGGGGACTATTTCTCCATCTGACACCAATGATGGGGCATCATTCCTCTCAGGGACACCATCAAGGGGGTACTTTCTCTTCCATTGACACCATTGATGGGACTCTATTCCTCCCAGTGACACCATCAATGGGAAATGATTCCTCCCAGTGACACCATCAATGGGGTACTATTCCTCCCAGTGACACCATCAATGGGGTACTATTCCTCCCAGTGACACCATCAATGGGGTACTATCTCTTCCAGTGACACCATCAATGGGGTACTATCTCTTCCAGTGACACCATCAATGGGGTACTATCTCTTCCAGTGACACCATCAATGGGGTACTATCTCTTCCAGTGACACCATCAATGGGGTACTATCTCTTCCAGTGACACCATCAATGGGGTACTATTCCTCCCAGTGACACCATCAATGGGGTACTATCTCTTCCAGTGACACCATCAATGGGGTACTATCTCTTCCAGTGACACCATCAATGGGGTACTATCTCTTCCATTTGTGGTGGTTTATGTAATAATTTATTCTAATTATGTAGGGCGATGTCCTTTCCCTTAAACCAAATATCGCAGTCCCTCCAGCCGTTAAAATATGGCAAATATTTAATGAACCAATAATTTGGACACCACTTAATAATGTACTTTGAGTCCTTGTAGTCAGTGTGATCTCGTACCAAATACACAGAAATTGCCGTATAATAAATAAATAAATACATTTATGTACAAAATGTATATATATATTAATACAAACGCAGCAGACTGGTGATAAATGTATCCTTGTACATACAACCAAAATATAATAGACTGATTCTAGACATATCAGACTGGATGTCGCTCCACTTCCTTAAACTGAACCTCTCCAAAACCGAGTTTCTTGTCTCCCCCTCCAGCCCGGACACCACCCCCCATTGACTTCTCCATCACATCCAACAACGCCACCATCAAACCCGCCCTGCAGGCCAGAGTACTTGGTGTCATTCTGGACTCCAACCTATCCTTCCAGCCCCAAGTCCAATCTTTAACAAACTCGTGCAGACTCCGCCTCCGCAACATGCAGACTCCGCCTCCGCAACATGCAGACTCCGCCTCCGCAACATCGCCAAAATCCGCACGTTCCTAACCCCAGAAACCACTAAACAGCTCATCCACTCCCTCATCATATCACGACTCGACTACTGCAACTCCCTCCTCACTGGCCTGCCTCGCCACAGGCTATCCCCGCTTCAGTCCATCCTGAATACGGCTGCCAGACTCATTCACCTTTCCAACCGCTCCATCTCCGCCACCCCCCTCTGCCAATCCCTCCACTGGCCTCCACTCAGTGTCCTCCACCCCCCTCTGCCAATCCCATCACTGGCCTCCATTCGGTGAGCTCCACCCCTCTCTGCCAATCCCTCCACTGGCCTCCACTCGGTGTCCTCCACCCTTCTCTGCCAATCCCATCACTGGCCTCCATTCGGTGTCCTCCACCCCTCTCTGCCAATCCCTCCACTGGCCTCCATTCAGTGTCCTCCACCCCCCTCTGCCAATCCCTCCACTGACCTCCATTCAGTCTCCTCCACCCCCCTCTGCCAATCCCTCCACTGGCCTCCACTCAGTGTCCTTCACCCCCCTCTGCCAATCCCTCCACTGGCCTCCACTCAGTGTCCTCCACCCCCCTCTGCCAATCCCTCCACTGACCTCCATTCAGTGTCCTCCACCCCCCTCTGCCAATCCCTCCACTGCCCTCCACTCAGTGTCCTCCACCTCCCCTGCCAATCCCTCCACTACCCTCCACCCCCCTCTGCCAATCCCTCCACTGGCCTCCACTCAGTGTCCTCCACCCCTCTCTGCCAATCCCTCCACTGACCTCCACTCAGTGTCCTCCACCCCCCCCCCTGCCAATCCCTCCACTGCCCTCCACCCCCCTCTGCCAATCCCTCCACTGGCCTCCACTCAGTGTCCTCCACCCCCCTCTGCCAATCCCTCCACTGCCCTCCACCCCCCTCTGCCAATCCCTCCACTGGCCTCCACTCAGTGTCCTCCACCCCTCTCTGCCAATCCTTCCACTGACCTCCACTCAGTGTCCTCCATCCCCCTCTGCCAATCCCTCCACTGGCCTCCACCCCCCTCTGCCAATCCCTCCACTGGCCTCCACTCAGTGTCCTCCACCCCCCTCTGCCAATCCCTCCACTGGCCTCCACTCAGTGTCCTCCACCCCTCTCTGCCAATCCCTCCACTGGCCTCCACTCAGTGTCCTCCACCCCCCTCTGCCAATCCCTCCACTGGCCTCCACTCAGTGTCCTCCACCCCCCTCTGCCAATCCCTCCACTGGCCTCCACTCAGTGTCCTCCACCCCTCTCTGCCAATCCCTCCACTGACCTCCACTCAGTGTCCTCCACCCCCCCCTCTGTCATTCCCTCCACTGGCCTCCACTCAGTGTCCTCCACCCCCCTCTGCCAATCCCTCCACTGGCCTCCACTCAGTGTCCTCCACTCCCCTCTGCCAATCCCTCCACTGGCCTCCACTCAGTGTCCTCCACCCCCTCTGCCAATCCCTCCACTGGCCTCCACTCAGTGTCCTCCACCCCTCTCTGCCAATCCCTCCACTGGCCTCCACTCAGTGTCCGCCACCCCCCTCTGCCAATCCCTCCACTGGCCTCCACTCAGTGTCCTCCACCCCCCTCTGCCAATCCCTCCACTGGCCTCCACTCAGTGTCCTCCACCCCCCTCTGTCATTCCCTCCACTGGCCTCCACTCAGTGTCCTCCACCCCTCTCTGCCAATCCCTCCACTGGCCTCCACTCAGTGTCCTCCACCCCTCTCTGCCAATCCCTCCACTGGCCTCCACTCAGTGTCTGCCACCCCCCTCTGCCAATCCCTCCACTGGCCTCCACTCAGTATCCTCCACCCCCCTCTGTCATTCCCTCCACTGGCCTCCACTCAGTGTCCTCCACCCCTCTCTGCCAATCCCTCCACTGGCCTCCACTCAGTGTCCTCCACCCCCCTCTGCCAATCCCTCCACTGGCCTCCACTCAGTGTCCTCCACCCCCTCTCTGCCAATCCCTCCACTGGCCTCCACTCAGTGTCCTCCACCCCCCTCTGCCAATCCCTCCACTGGCTTCTGATTGCGCAACGGATCAAATTCAAAATCCTAACACTGACGTACAAAGCCGTCCACCATACTGCCCCGAACTACATCACTGACCTAATATCCAAGTACCACCCAACACGCACACTCCGCTCCTCACAAGACCTTCTCTCTAGTTCCCTGGTCTCCTCCTCCAGGACTTCTCCAGGGTGTCACCCATCCTCTGGAACTCCCTGCCCCAACCCATCAGATTATCACCTACTCTCCTCTCCTTTAGGCGCACCCTGAAAACCCATCTCTTCAGGGAAGCCTACCCCACCCCCTGCTAACTTGCCGACCTCCTCCACTCCTCCTACCACTCCATCCCCCACAGCTATCTCCTTTTGTGCCACCATCCCCTCCCTCCTAGATTGTAAGCTCCAAGGATCAGGGCCCTCGATCCCCTCATGTATTGTATTGTATTGGTATTGTTCTGTCACATGTTCTGTCCCCTCTGTAATGTACAGCGCTGAGCGAACTATGGGGGCTTTATAAATACTGTATAATAATAATAATAATAATAATAATAATAATAATATACTAAACAACAAATATAGATAATAGTAAAGATTAAAAATTAAATTTAGTTATAAGTGATCACCTTGTGGTGCTTCAGGAAGTATTTCTATCATTCTGTGGCCATAGGAATGTCAGAACATCTTCTCTGATAAATGGCTCCATAACCAACTACAAATGATGAATTCTGCAAGATCTATAAAATTCAATCTTAAATCAAATATTTTTGGCAATAATTATATATATATCTTTTTATCTATAAACACCCAATACAACGCTATCAGTCTATGAACAATATGTAATAATAGATACAATATAACTCTTACAGTCTCACCGCTCCCAGAACCTGGAGTTGAGGCTTCGCCCAATGGGATGTAGTTGGGGCCTTCAAATGGTCCTCAAGACAAGATGGCAGCTGGACTCCTTCAGAAAAATGGCCGCAAGGAGTAAGTGAGAGAGAGTGCAGTGGGTTGCAGTTTTTAGGAAGAGTGTAGGAGTGTAGAAGTTCAGAGGTTCAGAGGTTCAGAAGTTCAGAGGTTCAGAGGTTCAGAAGTTCAGAGGTTCAGAAGTTCAGAAGTTCAGAGGTTCAGAGGTTCAGAAGTTCAGAGGTTCAGAGGTTCAGAAGTTCAGAGGTTCAGAAGTTCAGAGGTTCAGAGGTTCAGAAGTTCAGAGGTTCAGAAGTTCAGAGGTTCAGAGGTTCAGAAGTTCAGAAGTTTAGTAGAAGTTTTTCAGAAGTTTGAGAAGTAGTATTAGAAGATCTCTAAGTTCTTCAGATGGGATAGATTTTGGCGTCTTCGGTTCTCATTTTGTTGATTGTTTTTTCTTTAGCTTTTTTTTTCAGCATGAGTATCCTTATGTGAGGTGTGTGGCTTTTTATACTATCTAATTCTTTTGTTTTTAAAAGACCCTCCCAACAGGCGTGTTGATTGGCCGGTCGGGAAGTGTGTGTACATATGATATGTCTCACCTGTCCACTGGGGGGCAGTCAGGGATCACAGAACAATGTGAGTAATAATGATGACTCTGCTTTGATTGGACCCAAGGTAACTTTAGGTGTTACATAGATATATGTCATCCAAATGTAGTTCATTCTTGGATCAGAACCATAGAAAGATATATGTTCATTCAGTTTCTTGATATTTAACCCCCCTGGCGGTATTCCTGAGTGTCGCTCGGGGTAAAATTTCAGTACCACAAGCGGTAACCCCCCCCGAGCTACACTCGGGCTTACCATGCAGCGTTGCATAGGGATTCCCTGCAGCACTTACCTTGTCCTTCACTCCCATGCTGTGTCCCCTGCAGTGTCCCCGGCCATCTCCTCCGGCCGATGCCGGCTTCCGGCTTCTGTGTTCCGGTCCCTGTGACGTCGGGATGTACGGGCGCCGCCGGCGGCGGGAAATTTGAAAATTTAAAAAAAATTTCATTTTTTTTCAAAACGATTTCACATAGTAAAACATTGCTGTTTCAACCCATTTCACATACATTGTGTCCCGAGTGCTTTGTCCGGCGCCCTGCCTGCATTTTTACTGCCCTTTCTGCCTGGAAACTGAGAAACATCCATGGCGTCCAAAAAGCGTCCCTTTAGGTCAGACGCGGTTTTAGATCGGCTAGAGAACAGCGATAGTAAATCAGAACCACTTGCAGAATTGAGTGATAATGATTGGTGGGGGAAATTCCTCATCAGACACTGAAAACGATTCTGCGACTGAGCTCAGCGATGGGCCAACTTGGCGCTCTATTTCACATTTCAGTGTTTTTGGTTTGATTATATTATTGAATTACATTTATTATTATTATATTATTTTTTATGATTATTTATTATATTATAATTTATGATTTTGTGTTTCACATTTTATCCTCCCCGGGATGTTTACTAGACTCTTGTCCGGACAGATTTCAGGGAGTTATTCCTAAAAATTACAGCCTACAATAAAAAACGACATATTTCCATGCAGAATAATGTACCGCTTTGAGCACAGAAATCTGAAATAATCAGACCGCCAGGGAGGATAAACTGTGTGAAACATTTGATTTCTGATGGAAATATACAACTGACACCAATTCACAACATATCTTACTCTTCACCATTTCATACTTAATGTAGTGGAATGTCCCCAACTCTGCTGAGTATATTTGTGTGGAACCCTTTCTAACACCCCATTGATCATGTCTCTGTCTGCAGATATATCCAGTTCTTGGCTTCAGATGTCCCAAGTTTTTAACCTTTTGGTTTTAGAAAAGAAGTTCCCATGAATAGGAAACCCTCTGTGTACCTGTCCATTGTGGAGGAGTTGGGGTGTCCATTGTGTAGGAGTTGGGGTGTCCATTGTGTAGGAGTTGGGGTGTCCATTGTGTAGGAGTTGGGGTGTCCATTGTGGAGGAGTTGGGGTGTCCATTGTGTAGGAGTTGGGGTGTCTATTGTGGAGGAGTTAGGGTGTCCATTGTGGAGGAGTTGGGGTGTCCATTGTGTAGGAGTTGGGGTGTCCATTGTGTAGGAGTTGGGGTGTCCATTGTGTAGGAGTTGGGGTGTCCATTGTGGAGGAGTTAGGGTGTCCATTGTGTAGGAGTTGGGGTGTCCATTGTGGAGGAGTTGGGGTGTCAATTGTGTAGGAGTTGGGGTGTCCATTGTGGAGGAGTTGGGGTGTCAATTGTGTAGGAGTTGGGGTGTCCATTGTGTAGGAGTTGGGGTGTCCATTGTGTAGGAGTTGGGGTGTCCATTTGTGTAGGAGTTTGGGTGTCCATTGTGTTGGACTTAGGGTGTCAATTGTGTAGGAGTTGGGGTGTCAATTGTGTAGGAGTTGGGGTGTCCATTGTGGAGGAGTTGGGGTGTCAATTGTGTAGGAGTTGGGGTGTCCATTGTGGAGGAGTTGGGGTGTCCATTGTGTAGGAGTTGGGGTGTCCATTGTGTAGGAGTTGGGGTGTCCATTGTGGAGGAGTTGGGGTGTCCATTGTGAAGGAGTTGGGCTGTCCATTGTGGAGGAGTTGGGGTGTCCATTGTGTAGCAGTTGGGGTGTCCATTGTGAAGGAGTTGGGGTGTCTATTGTGGAGGAGTTGGGGTGTCCATTGTGGAGGAGTTGGGGTGTCCATTGTGGAGGAGTTGGGCTGTCCATTGTGTAGGAGTTGGGATGTTCATTGTGTAGGAGTTGGGGTGTCCATTGTGGAGGAGTTGGGGTGTCCATTGTGTAGGAGTTGGGGTGTCCATTGTGGAGGAGTTGGGGTGTCCATTGGGGTGTAGGAGTTGGGGTGTCCATTGGGGAGGAGTTGGGGTGTCCATTGTGTAGGAGTTGGGGTGTCCATTGGGGGGGGAGTTGGGGTGTCCATTGTGGTTGTCCATTGTGTAGGAGTTGGGGTGTCCATTGGGGAGGAGTTGGGGTGTCCATTGTGTAGGAGTTGGGGTGAACAACCAGTTATACTTGTAACCTTCATGGATAATATATAATACAGGATATATTGTGACAGTTCCAGAAGTTTGTTTGTTCATCATATTTCCAAGGTTTTGGGTGAACCTTCAGCCAGTTAGGTTTCCGTCTCATTATTATTATTATTATTATTATTATTATACAGTATTTATAAAGCGCCGATAGTTGGCTCAGCGCTGTACATTACAGAAGGGGACAGAACATGTGACAGAACAATACCAATACAATGTGATACATGAGGGGATCGAGGGCCCTGATCCTGGGAGCTGACAATCTATGAGGGAGGGGCTGATCCTGGGAGCTGACAATCTAGGAGGGAGGGGTGGTGGCACAGGAGGAGATAGCTGCGTCTCCTCATTGTTCTTTGGTCAGGTGTGATGGCTCGCTGTCCACAGAGGAGTGTTTGATTCTATAATTCCCTTTCCTGCAGTGAAGTCTCCTGATTCCGCAGACAATGGCGATTGTTTAGAAAACACACTTTTGCAGATCTGAGAGTCACCAACATCAGATCCACCATTATCTTTCTGGGGGGACTTTGTTTGATCACCTGGAGGCATTTCAATAGTACATTGTGTCTGGAACAAGTCTCTTCATCTCATTGTCTCTGTGATCCACTACAAGGTCATTTGAATTCTAACCATGAAATGTTAACCCCTCACAGACAGCTGGGCTTCTTACTGTTGGAAATCATATTTTTAATGAATAGTCCCCCAAAAGTCACTACACATTGACACCATTGATGGGAAACTATTCTTCTATTGACACCATCAATGGGAAACTATTCCTTCCCATTGACACCATCAATGGGGCACTAGTTTTCCTACTGACACCATCATTGGGCACTATTCTCCAGTTGACACCATTGAGGGGCACTATTTCTTCCACTGACACCATTCAAGAGGCACTATTACTCCCACTTATATCAAGAATGGGAAATTGTTTACTCCCACTGACACCATCTATTCCTCAATCCGACACCATTGATTGGGCACCATTTCTCCCAGTGACACCATCAATGGGTTACTGTTCCTTCCATTGACACCATTGACATGGGACTCTATTCCTTCCACTCAGACACCATCAATGGGAAACTATTTCTCCCAGTGACACCATCAATGGGGCACTATTCCTTCCATTGACACCATTGATGGGACTCTATTCCTTCCACAGTGACACCATCAATGGGAAACTATTCCTCCCAGTGACACCATCAATGGGGTAATATTCCTTCTCATTGACACCATTGATGGGACACTATTCTCTCACTGACACCATCAATGGGAAACTATTCGTCCTAATGACACCATCGATGGGAAAACTATTCCTCCACTGACACCATCAATGGGGCACTATTCAACTCTCACTGACACCAATGACGGAGCACTATTATTCCCACTGACACCATGAGGGGGACTATTCCTCCACTGACACCATCAATGGGGCACTATGGGCACTATTCTTCCTCTCACTGACACCAATGATGGGGCACTATTCCTCCCACTGACACCAATGATGGGGCACTATTCCTCCCACTGACACCATTGATGGGGCACTATTCCTCCCACTGACACCAATGATGGGGCACTATTCCTCCCACTGACACCATCATTGGGGCACTATTCCTCCCACTGACACCAATGATGGGACACTATTCCTCCACTGACACAATGATATATTCCTCCCACTGACACCAATGATGGGAAATTGTTTACTCCCACTGACATCGATGGGGCACTATTCCTCCATCCTGACACCATTGATGGGGCACTATTCCTCCCACTGACACCAATGATGGGGCACTGTTCCTTCCACTGACATCATTGACAGGGGCACTATTCCTCCCACAGACACCATTGATGGGACACTATTCCTCCCACTGACACCATCGAGGGGCACTATTCCTTCCACTGACACCATCAATGGGGCACTATTCCTCCACTGATACCAATGATGGGGCACTATTCCTCCCACTGATACCAATGATGGGGCACTATTCCTCCCACTGACACCAATGAAGGGGCACTATTCCTCCCACTGGACACCAATGATGGGGCACTATTCCTCCCACTGACAACAATGATGGGGCACTATTCCTCCCACTGACACCAATGATGGGGCACTATTCCTCCCACTGACACCAATGATGGGGCACTATTCCTCCCACTGACACCAATGATGGGGCACTATTCCTCCCACTGACACCAATGATGGGGCACTATTCCTCCCACTGACACCATCAATGATGGGGCACTATTCCTCCCACTGACACCAATGATGGGGCACTATTCCTCCCACTGACACCAATGATGGGGCACTATTCCTCCCACTGACACCAATGATGGGGCACTATTCCTCCCACTGATACCAATGATGGGGCACTATTCCTCCACTGACACCAATGATGGGGCACTATTCCTCCCACTGACACCAATGATGGGGCACTATTCCTCCCACTGACACCAATGATGGGGCACTATTCCTCCCACTGACACCAATGATGGGGCACTATTCCTCCCACTGACACCAATGATGGGGCACTATTCCTCCCACTGACACCAATGATGGGGCACTATTCCTCCCACTGACACCAATGATGGGGCACTATTCCTCCCACTGACACCAATGATGGGGCACTATTCCTCCCACTGACACCAATGATGGGGCACTATTCCTCCCACTGACACCAATGATGGGGCACTATTCCTCCCACTGACACCAATGATGGGGCACTATTCCTCCCACTGACACCATGATGGGGCACTATTCCTCCCACTGATACCAATGATGGGGCACTATTCCTCCCACTGACACCATCAATGGGGCACTTTTCCTCCCACTGACACCAGTGATGGGGCACTATTCCTCCCACTGACACCAATGATGGGACACTATTCCTCCCACTGACACCAATGATGGGGCACTATTCCTCCCACTGACACCATCAATGGGGCACTATTCCTCCCACTGACACATCAATGGGACACTATTCCTCCACTGACACCATCAATGGGGGCACTATTCCTCCCACCACTGACACCATCAATGGGGCACTATTCCCCCCACTGACACCAATGATGGGGCACTATTCCTCCCACTGACACCAATGATGGGGCACTA